TCGGATCCTTTCTCATATGGGACCTTTAATAAAGTGCCCTTCTTCTACGCAATGATATTCCGTACTGTCAACTATTTGTCCATACCTCGCTGCATTACACTGCAGCCCGTATCCACTTGAATAAGTGGTTTACAATATGTTCTTTATATCTATCTCCTTCTCGAGCATTTTCTATCCCAGACTTTGCCTTTCTTGTTTCATCCTTAACACCCCACTCCTGTTACTTGGTGATTTTAATGCCCACCATTTCCCCTGGGGGGGGGGTCTCATTGTGACTCACGTGGGATCCGTTGGAGGCCTTTCTCGCCTCTCAACCCCCTCCATGTTTTAAATACGGGTACTCCCCCCCCATTTTGATCCTCGTACTCATAAATCTCTCTTGCAACCCATCTGTCAGTCTGCTCTTCCTCCACTGCACTAGACTTCACCTGGTCTGTTCTACCAGACTTACATGACAGCGATCATTTTTTTCCAATCATTCTTACTTCTCCTTCCTGTTCACCACCTTTCCGTAGCCCTCGCTGGCAATTTGATCGGGCAAATTGGGATCTTTACTCACACCTCACTGCTTTTAGTTGAGGTTCCTTCTTCATCCCTTGATGAGCTCCTACACCTCTTCTCGACATCAGTTTATACCGCAGCTTCTTTATTCTATACCCCAACCTCGGCAGGAATTCTCAGAAGTGCGTGCCTTGGTGGTCTCCTGCTTGTGCTCGTGCAGTACGTTTGAAACGCGCTGCATGGGGCAGGTACCGGTACAATAGAACCGCTGAGAGACTTCTTGATTTTTAAGCAGAAACGTGCGATTGCTCGCTGTGTCATCCGTGAAGCTAAACGCACTTGTTGGCAAGACTATGTTTCCACCATCACCTCTGCTTTCTAATGAGTGCAGTCTGGAAAAAAGTGAGGAAAATTGAGTGGTAAATACTCTCCTGACCCGGGTCCTGTTCTAAAGGGTCGCTGGTGTTGATGTAGCAAACCTTCTCGACGTTGCCATTGAACTTGGCACACATCTGGTCCGTATTTCCCCGGGGGGTCCATCTATGTCCCTCGTTTCTTTCCTCATGTCTGCCAGAGAGTTAGTACCCCTTTGGGCTTTTCTTCTCTCAGAGAAGAAAAGTATAATGTGCCTTTTACACTTCAAGAACTAGAGGCAATGCTCTCAGCTTGCCGATCATCAGCAGCTGGGCCTGACAACATTCATATTCGTATGTTACAACATTTACATCAGTCAGCCCTTGTAGTCCTCTTACACCTCTTCAATCTTTTTGGGCACAAGGAGTTCTTCCCCAGCTGTGGAATTCTGCAATTGTTCTCCCTTTCCGCAAACCGGGTACTACAATACATGATGCTTCCCACTATCGTCCCATCGCTCTTACTAATGCAGTTTGCAAAGTGATGGAAGTCTCATAAATCGGGCGTTTAATGTGGTATTTAGAGACACACAACACGTCTCTCCGCTAGTCAATATGGCTTTCGTAAGGGTCGTTCTACCATAGACCCCTTACTACGCTTGGATACGTATGTTCGTAATGCCTTGCGAATAAATCACTCAGTTATTGCCATATTTTTTTTACCTTGAGAAGGCTATGACACAAAATTGGAGGTATAATATTTGGCCCAGGCCCCCTTCCTTAGGCCTCCGAGGCAATCTACCATCCTTCCTTAAGGGAAATTTTTAACTGAAAAGACATTTCCAGTTCGAGTCAATAATGTTCTTTCCCCCGGACTTCGTCCAAGCTGAAGGTGTCCCTCAGGGATGTGTTCTAAGCACAACACTTTCTCCTTGCTATAAATGATTTGGCCTCTGTTCTTCCACCCAATATTTGGTCATCACTCTATGTTGATGACTTCGCTATTGCTTGTGCAGGCGCTGACTGTTATCTCATTGCAGTTTCTCTCCAGCATGCGGTCGACCGTGTTTCCACTTGGGCCGCCACGCATGGGTTTAAATTTTCAAGTACCAAAACTCACCAAATTACTTTCATAGACGCTCTGTCATCTCGATCATCCTTTGTATCTCTATGCTCCCGTATCCCTGAATGTGATACAGTCAGGTTTCTAGCCTTCTCTTTGACCCTAGGTTATCCTGGAAACCTCACATTACCTCTTCGAAGGCAACTTGTCACAGTCGGCTAAACCTTCTTAAAACCCTTGCTCATCTTTCCTGGGGAGCTGTCGGCGAATTCTGCTTCGCCTACATTCAGCCCTCGTTTTTATCGAAACTCGATTTTGGGACCAGATTTATTCCGCGGCCTCTCCTGCTACTCTCTCTAGCCCTTTAACTCTATCCATCACCAAGGATTACGTTTGTGCCTTGGTGCTTTTTGCTCTTCCCCTGTTGAGGGGGCCTCTATGCAGAAGCAAATGTTCCATCCTTGTCTGATCGCCATGATGCCATTGCCTTCGCTACTATGTAACACACTCCCCGATCTCCACAATCCTTCCATTATAGAATGGTCACCGATATTAGTAGACCCTTCTTTATTCATTCGCCGTCCCTGTTTGCTCCGTCCCTTTTCTCTTCGCCTACATTCACTCGTCTTCCCTTCAGTTAACCACCTTTATATGTTCATGTAGCATCTCACTTTTCCCTACCCCCCTGGGAAGTTCCAGCTGTTCGGGTCTGTTCTTTCTCACTCCCTTGCTCGAAAGCTCACTTCCTACGGTGGCTTCCCACTCTCTTTTTCTTGATCACTTCCACTCCCATTCTCATGCCAACGCCTTTGTATAAAAGATGGCTCTAAGTCTTCAGACAGCGTCGGATTCACAGCAATGTTTCTGGACAGCGTCGTGCGGGAGGCAAATTTTCTATCTCGGCTAGCATTTTTACTGCTGAACTTTATGCCATTCTTGCAGCATATTGTATCGCAATATGTGTGTCAAACATTTGTGGTAGTCCAGACTCCTTATCTCTACAGCTATACGAAATTTGATACATCTCACCCCCTAGTTCTCCTTTCCAACTTTGGGTAGCCGTATTCTACGAAAGCAAAAGATTTTTTTTTTTGTTGGGTCCTGGCATGTCGAGTACGGGGCAATGAACAGGCAGACACTTCGGCGGTCGCAGTACATGCCTACAAATTTCCCTATAGAGGTGCCCCTTTTTTGGACTATTTTGTTGCAATAGCACCCACTTTCAGCCCTTTGGCAAAAAATTTGGGTTTCAACTCTGTTGGTAACAAACTTCATTCTATTAAACCGAGCATAGGTTACTGGCCGTTTTTGTCATCAGTGCCGTGGTTGGGAGACCCTTCCCCCCGTCTTCGCTTTGGGCCACACCGGTCTTACTCCGGGTTATCTCATGGAGAGGCCCCCTGTACCTCTCTGTGAGCTTGTCAAGTTCCAGATCGTTACACATTCTGTTAGACTGCCCTCTCTATAAACGAGCCCACGAATTTCCCTCCAAAACGCCGTTTCGTTCATACTCTCTTTTTTACCTTCCCTTCTTGCTGATGGACCCTCCTTTAATCCTGACTCCTCATTGACTTCTTGACAACGACTGATTTACTCCACAAACTCTGAGTGATGATACGTTACCACCCCCTAGCCCCTTTTTAGCCCGGGGCTCTTCTGCCCCTTTTCCCTTTTACCATCACTGCTTGCTGTTTCCGTAACCTTTTCATCCACCCCCTTTTGCCACCCGATGCCCTCGCTTCCTTCCGCCTTGCGCGCTGTGCGCCCTTTGTGGTTAGCGCTTCCCTTTTTTTGTTAAAATAATAAAATAATTCATAAACAAACCAAAATACTTCCTTACCCTAGGTTTGTAGACCCTTAAAGTTCACACCCCCCACCCCCATGAATGTAAAAATTACTAGTAAGACTTGTTATAACAAAAAATGTTAGGGTTTTGCTTTGCAAATGTTTAAAATTTCATTGGTTTAATTACTATTGTTTGTTTTTTTTAAATACTATGATATATTTTACTTTTGCCATTATTGATTACGTACTTTTTAAAACCCCTTGGATTTCTTTTCTTCCAGCACTTTGAAAGTTTTATATGACAGTTTAGCAATGGGTTGTATTCTTTAATAGGACTTGGGGGTGAAAAAAAATTTCAAATCCCGGGTTCCCTGATGCCCCAATATGACCCGTTCTGGGGTTTCCCAAAAAACCTGTCATAATCTTATCCCACGCGATGAAATTTCTGGGCAGGTAAGTCAGTTTCAGCCCAGAAAAAAATTACGTACTGACTTTAGATGTTCCCCTTATTATTTAAAACGAACATTTGTAAAAGGTACATTACGTTTAAATAAAAAAAAATAGTACAAGTCAAAAAGAACGGGTGAAATTCTTTTTCATTTTGGGGGAAATGTTAAAAATTTTGAACATACAATCGAAAATACCATACAGTAAGCATTGTCAACAGAAAAAAATACTGTTAAATAAGAATTTTTAAAAACTTTTAAGGTTTTTTAAATAGTACTGTAAATTAAACTCCAAATGTGCGGGTTAGGTAGCTAAATCTCCCGCACAGAACATTATTCGTCCATTTAATAAGTTATGCTTCATATTTAGGCTTGCTTTGTGTTTTAGAGGCCCAAATCTCCTTAAATGTTATTTTTGTATATCAAAATTAATATTTTTCATTTATGAGGGGGGTGAATAACCCCTCCCCCCACCCCCCCCCCCCCCCCCAATAAAAAGATTTAAGAAAGGGAAAATTTAATGAAAACATTTTGAAAAACTAAACCGTGATTAGTTTTTCAAGTTATAGTTTGTGTGTCAAGCCAAAACAAAATGGTCTTTGAATGACTGAACTATTTGCAGGAAAAACCCTTTTCAGAAAAGCATTTTATTATTGAAGCACACTAATTGGAAAAATTTTTTAATTGGGGGTTTCAACTGATTTGTTTACTGTCATTTTATCATGGCGCTACTATTTTAAATTTTGTAAAACTATTGTACCAGTTTCTTAATGATCTTATTTTGTGAAACCCTGCTTAAGTGAGTAAATTATTTTGAATCCTGTTCATAAGAATTTTCTTACTGTCTTTTAGGTGGATCGCCTAAATGGCCTGGTAAATTCTGCACTCCCTACACTGGATGGTGCAGTCTCTACATCTCAGCAGCTTCCTCCTCCCCACAGGTCAGGTTTGACCTACCCAAATGAGGTTAACAAAATTCCAGGAAGAGGAGGAGGAGTAAGAGTATCAGAGTCACAGCCTTTGATACCAGGGTCTTTTACTACTTCTAAAATTGAAAGACCATTAACACCTGAAGCACAAGACACTTCTCTATCTTACGAAGATCTCAATACTGTAACAGAAGAAACGGAAGAAAGAGATGGTCTAGGTTATGACTATAACTTTGACTATAAGAATTATGACTATGATTACTATGAAAATGGTGCAACTAGAAGGAAAAGACAACCTGATAAAATTAAATTGAGAATGAGTAAATGTAATAAAATGGAACTGTTAATAGTTTACAAGAAGGTTTCTGAAGAAAGATCAACTTCTGTAAATATAAAGAAAAATAAAAGGCAAAACAAACCAGGAAGCACTACTAAAACTAAGAAAAAAACAAAAGCAAATTGCTTTGAAAGACCATTCAGGAGCAAAAGTCATCACAACAGTTCAGGGGGTTTAAGCAGATAACAAATCTGGAAGAACAAAGACGACTGAATTTACCATCAAAAGGAAAGTCATACAAGATGACTCCCATATTAAAAATCTAACTACTCAAGAAGTTTCCAGGACAGGATGAGAAGCGCACTCAGGGTTCAGCAGCCACAAAGAATGTCAGGGGGGAAGGATATTCATCCCTTAAGGGGAGGTTTTTCCGCTCCCAAAGATCAAAGAGAAACTGGATTCCCTTTCAGTCATTTGTAGAGGATGTGACTTGGATATAACATTTTTAATTGTTAAATGTTTTATTCTTACACCACAAATTATTTAGTCTTTACTCTGTATTATTTTAAGTCCCTCGTGATAATTGTATGAATTACTTGTGTGCATTATCGAGATGCATAATTAGCAGGAAATTTTCCCACTTCTTCCAGTTTTAATTTAGACTCAGTTATATATATCTGCCTCTGGCTTTTCTCTAAATATAAAAATAGACAAGAGAAATGAAACACCCTATTTAACAGTTGGAAATTATTTTTTTGTCCCTTTTTCTTAAATAATTGCATGACAAGAAAATGCTTGATTTATTTGGTATTTCCAAAAAAAGGGTTTATTAAAGGGTTTTAAGACGGGCCTAAGAGCTGGAGTTTAAAACCCCCTCAGACTTTGGGTAAGTAAGTCAGGACTACCATGAAAAGGTTTCACCTATTTCGGGTGTAGCAAGCTTTTTATCAATTTTTTCAGTTCGAATTTTTAAATTTCAGAAATTGATAAATTACCAATTTCAAGCTTGGTGCAACTTCTTTTTTAAAAAACATGTTTATGTACAAAAGTAAAACATGTTTTTTTTTTGTTTTTTTTTTTTTTTTGGGGTTTTGTTGTTGTTTTTTTTTTTTTTGCTAGTTATCCTCCCAGTTATTTTTGTTTTCAATTTTTGCACTTTGTTTAAGTCTGAAAATGTATTAACAAAAATTTGGTTTTTTTACTGTTACTATTTTTTTTTTTTATTTTTTTTTTTAGGAAAGAAAGTCACTTTGACTTTTTTGGGGGATCCGGTAATTTACACTTATAATTGTAACTTATGTTACCTATGCCTAAAAAAATAACCTATAAAAGTGGACTTTTAACCAAAAAATTTCCCCCATTTAAACTTACTTTTTAAAAAATCGTTTAAATTTTTTTCAAGGTATTCTTAATTTTAAAACCCAAAAAAATTTTGAATTTTTAAAAAAAAAAAAGTTTAAAAAAATTCCTGGGGGGGTGGGGAGAACCCTTTTTGAATGCGGGAAAGGCAAATAAAATTAAAATTTTTTTTTTTTTTTTTTTTTTTTTAAATTTTTAAAAAAATTTTTTTTTTTTTCCCCCCCTTTTTATTTGGGGGTTTTTAAAAAAAGAATTTAAAAAATTTTTTTTTTTTTTTTTTTTTTTTTTTTTTTTTTTTTTTTTTATTTTTTTATTTTTTTGTTTTTTTTTTTTTTTAAAAATTTTTTTTTTTTTTTTTTTTTTAAATTTAAAATTTTTTTTTTTATTTTTTTTTTTTTTTTTAAAATTTTTTTTTTTTTTTTTAAAATTTTTCTTGTTATTGGAAAAATTTTTTTTTTTTTTAAAAAATTTTTTTTTTTTTTTCCCCGTAATGGGCCCCTTTTAAGAATTTTTTCCTGGTTGGGTGAGTTCCCTTTTTTAAAAAAAAATTTAAAATTTATTGTGAATTTATATATATGTCGTGTTTTTTCATAATGCAGGCTTCCACGTAGTTGCTGTTGCATATACAGTTTCACTGTGTATTATATGGTTGAATATTATTGTGGTTCGGTATAGTACTGTAGTTTAGGTTAAAAAAGAAAGAAATAGATGGCAATTTAAAAATGCTAAGTATTGATCTGTTTCTCATGTTTTCATCTTGTTAAAGTAATCAAACATTTTGTAATGTAAATGTAAAACCTGCCAAATTTTAATACAAGTAGAACTGTATACTGAAAACAACATGCAATACTTTAGAAGAATGTGTATAATTGAAACTCAGAAAGGCAATTGAATATTTTGCAATTCCATGTACAGTGGACCCCCGGTTAACGATATTTTTTCACTCCAGAAGTATGTTCAGGTGCCAGTACTGACCGAATTTGTTCCCATAAGAAATATTGTGAAGTAGATTAGTCCATTTCAGACCCCCAAACATACACGTACAAACGCACTTACATAATACACTTACATAATTGGTCACATTCCGGAGGTAATCGTTATGCGGGGGTCCACTGTAATCTACTGCTTTGCCGTGAGCCCACAGTATGTTGTTAATGCATTTCCACACAGCCTTAATGCATTAAATTAAATTATTTGTTAACCTCACATTAACAATACAGTGCAAGATGGTAATCTTTTATACTTCCATAGAGCATAATCAATGAATACCACTATATATTCCTATACTGTGTGTGGTATGTAATTTTCTTATATTCTTCCCTGATGCTGAAGTTCATAACATATTTTTTTAGTTAATGATGTACAACAATTTATAAAAATAACTACAACTGTTAATTTCATATCCAGTATGTCAATCAAGCATCTTACTCTCTTTTATCATTCCTCCATATTTTGAACTGATATTATTTACAAAATTAATATTTTTTTTATTACATTCCTTAATATTCTTCTCAAGACATTTGTCAGAAAGACAGAATGTTTCATTTCCTGGATTGTTTACTTTTTCCTGTTGCTGGAAAAGTTCTTCCCTCTTGCTGGAAAAGCTCTTCCCTATTATTGGAAAAGTTCTTCCCTATTGCTGGGAAAGTTCTTCCCTGTTGTTGGAAAAGCTCAAGTTAAATGACATGCATTTATAGCTCAGTGGTAGAGTGCTCAATTTAAAAGGAATTTAATTTGATTCCTTGGTAATTGAAGATGTGTGAGCAAGTCTTACAACTGCTGCAGTCATTTTTAATTTCAAAACAGTCTCAGTCTTTTTCTCTAGGTAATACAGTAGTTTAGAACCCATAATCACAACTAAGTTTATGGTAAAAAAGCTTAGCTATAGTAAAAAGAAAAACAGATATATATGACACACACAACGTAATGGTGTAAATGTTAGGACAGATATTGGACAGGTAGATGCAAATAGTTCTACTACATACTTTATGTGGAAAAAAGTCATTAAACAATTTAGTAAAAAAAAAAAAAAAAAAAAGTGAAAGACAATGGGTTAGTGTATGGTACTGGAGAACCATGAAAAAGAAAGAACTTGAAATTATAAAGAAATTGTGTCAACCCAGAAACTTACTAGAAATTTACATATGCCACAAATGAATACACAGATAGAGGAAAATAAATATGAGAAATGCAGTAGTGGACATGGCCAAAATGGAATTAAATCTCTTATTATTGTTTATGAAAGCCAATTAAATGTAAATAATATAGTAATACAATTACACAATTAGGAACAGCAAAAACAAAACTGAATTAGGAAAAATGCATGAGACACTAAATTTGCTTACCAAAATGTGTGATTTAGGTGTAGAGAACTGAAATATCCAAAGATATAAAAGACTATTACTGACAAGAAAAAAGTTGAAAGACTAGACAAGACCTCACTGTAGATCGTTCAAGAATGCAGAACTCAGTTGTCACCTGAAAAAATGGGATTTCATTATGAATGATAAACTGGCAAGTGAAAAATGACATATGTGCAGATAATTAAAAAAAAGTGATAGCCACATCATGACAAATGGTGTTTTGGAAAAACAAATATATAATACACTTGAAGAAAAACTTATTACAATAAGTAGCAAACAATTTAGTTGTAACTGAAAATTCCTGTGCTGTATACAGATTTCTTATGATGTTGATGCAAAATCACAAAATTAGGGTGGAATGCATTAATTATATTTTGCTAGATGAAGAAGTTATTGAAATAATTTACAAATCTGTTCAAATAAACCATGCCATGGACGGGGATAGAACCCGCGATCAGAGAGTCTCAAAACTCCAGACCGTTGCGTTGCCACTGGACCAGCTAGCTACAATTGTGGCTAGCTGTGTCCGTGGTATGTTTGTTTGCAATCGTGTCATTACAATTTCGTGAGTCTGGTTCAGAATACTAGTAATGAATTGTTTAAACAATGAATTCAGTCATGAACATTACAATGAAGCATATTAAAATTACAGACATCTAACAGACTTAAAACTGTGCTGTTCAGCTACAATGAATTCAGTTATGTACAGTAGCAACGCTAGGGTATTTTTTCCAGAATTTTTGGTAATATGTCAGTGTGAATGAAATATTTAGACATTTCTTGAACAACTGTACTAGTACTTTTTCCTAATCCAAGTATACTTTAAAAACATTTGTGTAGAAATGATTTATCCTTTTAAGGCATCATCTCTGGAGTAGGAGGTGGCAGATGAAACTGCAGTAAGTACTGAGTGTCAGATGCTTGGAGTTATCATATGGATTCACTAAGGGTATTGGTGATTTCTTCTAAAATAATAAAGCCAATGTACATTGCTTCCCTCCAAAATTAAACATAACAAGTATTAAGGCATATTTTAACCTGTTCATTCATTATATTAATTGTATATAATACCCACAAATAGATGTGCAAGATACATGTGCAACAGTTGGTTATCTTTATTGCTACAGGTTGGTCCCTGCAGAGGAGGTTCCTAGATGCCAGTGAAGGGCACTTGATCTAAGGAAGTGGACCTGTGTTCCCTTCTTTAGACTGAACTTGAATGCCTCCCATTCCTCCAGCATTTTCCCATGAAAGTAATAATAATACAGGGGGGTTCAGAATAATAGTGTTCAAAATTATTTTGCAAAATTACAAGAAACAGAGAATTAAAAATTTGCATTGCCACATCCTGTATTTTTGGCATAACAGATTTAAAAGATGTTTACC